CAACTGGACAAATTGTCAAGGGGAACCTTTACCTTTTACCTTGAAGATAAACCTAGGGTGACATTCACGAAACAAATGACGCTTAAACCTCAGGGCCCCAAATCTTGGAGGGCCCCCAGAAGCATCTTAATCCATGTTACATAAATGTTTTGGGTCTACTGTATAAGTTTTTAAAATTAATATTAATAATAGAGTGTAACCCTATTGAAGAAGATAGCAGTGATTACCCAGACTTATGAAGCCCCCCATAGCAGTTGAAGCTTCAAGGCCCCCAAAATCTTGGTTTGTCACTGGCTAAAACAGAGCAAAACCTTAATGTAGGATGTCCACAAACATGAAGTTCTTGGCTCCCTTGAATTCCCAAGGTTGACATCCTGTTTGTCAGGTCCCCTGCTCCAGAATCCCTTTCCTTCAGATTGTTCACCACTGTTATCTACCATATCCCTTACATCTGTTTCTTGGCCAAACAGATGGATAGTTCTAGTGCTTTACCTACCATGTTAATGCAGGTCTATCCTATGTTTGCTGGCATGACGATAGCAAAAATGTTTAGAAATATAGGTTCATGGATGGCTGAAGAGCAGAGAAAACAATTGCATGGAGCATCCTGGAGGATTTAAGAAAGGAGGGGAAGGGCCAATCTAGTTTTCCTGACCTTCACTGAGATTATTATGTCCTGGACTTTATTTCTTCCTTGCCCTTCTCGGTTACTGCTTAGGTGAGGCAGTGCATAGGGATGTGGTGGTGCTGCGAGTTAAGCTGCAGAAGCCTCTGTGCTGCAAGGTCAGAAGACCGGCAGTCGTAAGATCGAATCCACACAACGGAGTGAGCTCTTTTCACTTTGTCCCAGCTCCTCGCCAACCTAGCAGTTCGAAAGCATGTAAAAAATGCAAGTAGATAAATAGGTACCACCTCGGTGGGAAGGTAACGGCGTTCCATGTCTAGTCGCGCTGGCCACGTGACGACGGAAACTGTCTTCGGACAAACACTGGCTCTATGGCTTGGAAACGGGGATGAGTACCGCGCCCTAGAGTCAGACACGACTGGACTAAATGTGAAAGGGAACCTTTACCTAAGGCAGTGCAGGAAGAACTTTAAGTTGTCCAGCTGTACATCTGCTTCCTTTGTGGCTTTATCACTGTAGTTTTATATAACTTAACAGAAGAGTACAGTAGATATGGGAGGCTTGTGCTCTTCCATTTTGTCATGGCATCCATTCACAGCCCAAACAGTTCATGGTTCAGTTTGTGCAAGCCATTTAGCCGAAACGAAATGAAGTGCCAAACCTTTTCCACTTGGAGCTTTATTATGCTTCAGCCAAACAGATGCTTCTCCTTCCCACTATCCCCATTGCCCCCCACCTGGTTCTGCTGCCTCCTCCCCCTCTTCCTCTCTGCTGCCACCATCTTCAAAGACAGTGGTCCAGCTTCCCTTCTGCTGGCTTTGTGTATTCACATGCTTATCAGTATTCTGACCCTATTTCTGTCAACTTCTATCTTTGCTTCTCATCTGTCCCTTATCATTTTAAGTATTTTTTCATCATCCATCTAGGTTTTTTTTCTTTTTTGTGATACCTCTTTGTTAATTAACATTATATATAAAACACAATGCAAGCGGCAATTTAAAATGCATTTCCATTTTTTCTCTTGTCTCTGTTTCACATAATGTAAGTGCTCAGTTGTTGTTGTTTTGCTTGAAAAGTGGAATGAACAGAATGAGCTCCTTCTACCATGTTATCTTATCAGTTACAATGTTCCAAAACTTAGGTGTTTTAGTTTCATATGTTTTGGTTTTGTAATATAAACTGTCTTCACAGAGTTACTTTTCCAAATGTAGTTTCACTCTTAATGCATCTCTCCGAGGCACATTTTAAAATAACTTTTCATATCTAGGGCAACACCTCTGCATCCCATAAAGTCATTTTTTTAAAACTGTAACACATCTGTTCAGTTGCTTGAAGCATATTTTCAATAAAGAGATTGTTGGCTTCAGAGAACTCTATGAGTTGTTTTCCTGCTTCAATTCTGTCCTCTAGGTCAAATTGGGTCCCTACGTTTGCATTCTAAGCATGTCATGATTATAACCATGTCTTGATTTGGTGTGTGTGATCAATTTTCTTTTGGATGCTTGTGTAAAAGCTTTCAATTTCATTTTCCTCAGCATTGGTAGTTGGAGCATAGACTTGAGGGTAATATTGATAGGTTTTCCCTCTTTGATTGATATTGTCCAGTCAGATCTTGCATTATCACCTCTAATTGCTTATACTACATCTTTCCTCAGTATTAGAGCCACTCCATTTCTTCTGAGTTTGTCATTTCCAGAGTGGAACACTTGGTACTAGTCTGAAAACTTTCCTATTCCAGATAATAAGCACCGCAATGTTTATATATTCAATTTTCTTGCATTACATTTTATGCAAAATATGTTGTTGTAAAACTTGTGTGGTGGCAGCTTTTCTGCTTTTGGCCTGTAGGGGTCAGTGTGGCTCATGATTTCAAGCAACGGAGAGCCTTAAAAGGTCCCTAAAGGCTTTCATCTGTGGCTTGTCGTGAAGCAGGAAATGGTTCAGTAAAAGTGTGTCCTTCTCTAAGTCTTTCCTGATCATTCACCAGGTTATCACAACTATTCAGAAGCGTCTGCCTCTCAAAGAGTGTGCATTCCAAGGATAACCTGGGAGCTGCTTTTCCTAATCTTCATTGGTGACAAAAGACACTCATGGTTTTGACAGGAGGACTTGAAGGAGGCAGCAGAGTTTTCTTAAAACTACTACAAGACTCTCTGTTAAAAAACAAAGGAAGAGCCTCTGAGCAGAAGGAGGAAGTCCTGAACCAATGTGAGCAACTCAGGCTCAAAGCAGGAGTTTTGCTCACCTGAAGGCTTCTGCAGATTAGCTTGCTGTCTTTGGTGACTGGTTTTCAGGTTTTAAGGAAGGGATTGCTTTGAAATGTGGTATCAGAGACAGAGGAAAGCCATCTCTGCCACCTCTCTGAAACATGAACGTGCTTTGTGGTTCAGTTGTGGGCTACCTGCAATATCTGTTTGGAAAGAAAAATGGAAAGTGGTAAAAGGAATTAGGAACTGAAAGTTTCAAAAAATTAAAGAAGAAAGGGCTGCTGGTGACATAAGCCGCCCAGAGACCTTTGGGTAGAGTGGGCGGCATATAAATTAAATAAATAAATAAATAAAATATGCCACCAGGTTGTGCATCAGTTAACAGTTGTAAGTGGCAGGAAATAGTGATATATCAGGATTTGTTTTAAAAAAGAAAATCTTAGGACATCAGGGACCCAGAAACAAAATGGGAAATAAATAGATTTGTAGAAGGCAGCACATGGTGAATTTTATGTGTGTGCATGTGTCTGGTCTCTGGATGTCTGTGAATTTCATTGTATGGGTATACAGTACTGTGTATATACTTACAATGACAATAAATAAATAAATAAATGTAAGCAACAGAATTGGTACAAACAGCAAGAAATGTACCGATTGAACTGTTAGCCATGTGAACAGGCCCAGAAGGCCTGGAAATATGTGCCGTGGCCAAATTAAAACAAAACGCTAAGGTGGTGTGATGGGGAGGGGGAGGAGGAGAGCTGGACTTTCTGCAGTGACCGTTCTAACTTCCACGCCGAGGCAGTAATTTCACCACCACTTTCCATCCACGGGGCTGGGGCTGAATATGAGTTCATCGACATGATACAGTCCCTCATCTGATGCAGTTTTTTGTTCTTCATTCTGCTTTTAAACTCAGCTGTGCGTTATGTACTTACAAGACTGTACAGCGTGTGGTGAAAAGTTTGGGAGTGCTACAGACTAACTTCATTCTGAATCTCTTAAAGGCTGAGACGATTAATTTGAACAGTTTCCTGGAATCTTCCATTTGCCTTTTTCTGAGTAGGAACCTGTGACCCTGTGTGTGTTTTAGATACTGAAACACCTCTTCCCTCCCCGCTCTGTGACGAGGTGTCTGAGTTGCCCTCACCTCCCAGAAGTTCTCTCCTCTCTCCACACACATGCAGGATAGGAGTTAAGCAAGAATAAGCAGACAATGGCTCCAAACAGCCCAAACCTCCACCCATAACTGTCTGTGGACAGCCTGCCATTGACATCGGCACCTGTTGAGTGAAGCCGAGCAGCACACGACTCACTGCATTCATAGAACGCTTTGGGGTGTCCATGTGCACCTTTTTCTCTTTCATGCACATAAATCAAACCTATACAGTGCTAAGTATGCACCCAAGAGTGCTCATCCTCATCCCCTTAACCTTTTCCCTAAGTTCTGGAAAAGTTGGTGAATCCTCAAATCAGGTAGAGGAAGAGAGTGAAGAATTTTATTATTCCTACCAAAGGTATTTTGATTTACAGTGGGGTCTTGACTTGAGAACTTAATGCGCATTGGAAGGCGGTTCTCAAGTCAAAAAGTCTGTAAGTCAAGTCTCCATTGACCTACAGTGCATTGAAAACCGATTAATCCCGTAACAGGCTGTTTTTGTTCCATTTTGGTTTTTTTCTGGTCTGTAGGTTGATTCTCCGGCTGCAAGTCAAACCTAAATTTTGCGGCCAGAGAAGTCTGTAACTCAAAAAGTCTGTAAGTCAAGCCGTCTGTAAGTCAAGGGTCCACTGTATTATTATTTGGGTCCAGCTTTATTCCTTTTATTGAAAAACCTGGCTTGCATAGATGAAGATGCAAACCAGCTTGAGTGCTTGCCTGTCTCGTGCTTGGAACATACACTATTAACACCTTCCTTCCTAAAAATTTATCAGGCATCAACTTGATTAGTGGATTTTCTTCCTTGTCCTTCACCTTTCCATTTAATCTACTATATCCTACATTTTTGTGGTCAATGTGATGAACCTTCTCACTGCTTTACTTACCTTCCTGAGTGCTCCCTTGTGTGACAATAACAAATCTAATCAGATAGATGTGCTCTTGCTAGGCCAGTGAGCACAGAAGAAATTTGCATGAAAGGGCTGTTCTGTGGTCCTTGAGCATTAAAGAAAGGAGGCAAGTACATCACCTAGTTGTCTTCCTGAATCAAAATCAAGCATCTCTATAGAGCTCACCATGGGCCAGGCTCTGTTTCTCCTTGCCCTTCTCAGCTACTGCTCAGGTAAGGTCATGTAAAATGAACTTCATGCTGTACCTATCTGTTTGCGTTATGTATTTGCCATCTGTAAATAATGCTTTTCAGATATTTGAGAGCACAGAAAATGCACCAGACTCATCGTATTTTTTTGCTTTCTCTTCTTCCCAAGGTATCCGTTCTGAGGCAACAGTGACACAGCCGGCCTCCGCATCGGTGTCTCTGGGACAAACAGTGAAACTCTCCTGCATGGGAAGTAGTGATGGTAATTGGCTTACCTTCAGCTGGTATCAACAGAAACCTGGACAGCCCCCTCGCTTTGTGCACTGTGATGGCTGCAGCAGAGGAGAAGGGATTCCCGACCGGTTCACGGCTTCTGAATCTGGGAACACAGGCTTTTTAACCATCACTAATGCCCAGGCTGAAGATGAGGCCAATTATCACTGTGCTGCCTGGGAGGGTACAAGCGATATGTCTCACAGTGGTTTATTCTGATGGGGAACTGAGACAGAAACCTTCCTCCTTCCTCCCTAGAGCAGTGAAGCAATATCTCAGCAGACATTGCTGCACCTCTGACTTCTACCTTATAATGTTCCTTCTTTTCTCATAACACATGAAGTTGTTATAGCTTAGGATGGAGGAAACAGGCCTCTTAGATGGAACTCTGAAGGTCAAAGGGCAAACAAGAAATCAATGAAAAAAGTCTATGGGATGAGGGGTTTGTGGGGGAATGAAATAGATCATTTACCCAAGACATGGTCCTTGTGTACATTCTGTATATGAGCAACAGTGTTAATAAGCCCTCATTTATACATCACTGTTGGCAGTGTACGTGTGGCAATGTATGTGTGGCTACACTCTGCTTTGACTTCCTTTGAAATAAAGACTTCCAGTAGAACATAGCCACTCTCGCTCAGAGTTCCCCTTAGTGCCACATCCTCCACCAAGTTGTCTCTGTTGGTTAGAATCAAGTCAAGGATAACATCCTCTAGTTTCTCCACTTTTTGTAGGAGAAAATTATCAGCCAAACAAAGCAGGAATTTCTTGGGGGAACCATACTTGGCAAAATTTGCCTCCAAACAAATACCAGGATAATAGAAATCTCCCATCACTACTACATTGTGTCTCTTGGAAATCCTTGCAATTTGTTTTTCAAGTTTCATCTGCTTCCTCTTTTTGATTGGGCAGCTCGTAGTAGACTCCAGCTACCATGTTCCTTTTGTTTTTTTGTCCCACGTACTTTGATCCAGATGCTCACAATGGGACAGCCAACCTCCTTTTGTCTTTCTATGTAGGAACCTATTATTTTTTACATATACTTCAACTCCACCTCCCCTTCTATTCTTTTTGGTCCTTTTGAACAATTTATATTCTTCAATTGCTGTATTCAGGTCATGGGAGTCATCAGACCAAGTTTCCTATCAATTCATATTTACCCTCATGAGCTAAGATTTCTAGTTCTTCTTGTTTGTTTCCCATACTCCTGGCATTTGTACACAGACACCGGAGGTTGTGTGATTTGAGGCCTGCTTTTCTTTGTACATTTTTATGAATATTATTATTATTATTATTATTATTATTATTATTATTATTAATGTTAATGTTATTATTGACCGTCATTAGAAATGTTTAGTCCATTCCTCTCATTGTGTGTAAGGCTTCATCTATCTTTATCTCTGTGTTTGTGTCTCCCTCCCCCTTCTAATTCAGTTTATAGCCCACCTGATGAAATTCTTCATGCTGTGGCCAAACATATTCTTCCCAGTCCTTGTGAGGTGCAAGCCATGTCTTGCTAGCAGTCCATCTTCCAGGAAGCTTAGTCCATGGTCCCAGAAACCAAACCTCTCACATCGACACCACCTTCGTAGCCAGTCATCCACCAGGAGTATTGTCCTTTCCCTTTCTATTCCTCTTCCCAGTACTGGTAGGATGAATGAGAAAAATGTTTGGGCTCCAAAGTCTTCAAGTTTCGTTCCTAGATCTTTGAGTCTGATGTGATCAAAGCTGCTCTTGGATGTGTTGTTTGTTCCCACATAGATGACAAGGAATGGATATGTATCCATGGGTTTTATGAGTGATGTCAATCCTTCTGTCACAATCCTAGTCTGTGCTCCAGGGAGATAGCATACCTGGCAGGTCCATGGATCGTCCCAGCATATTTTAGTTTCCATCCCACATAGTAGGGAGACTCCTATTACAAGTACTTTTCTTTTCCTCGTTTTGTAGTGCATGGGTTCAGTGCCTCTGCAGCTAAGCTGAGTTTCAATCCCTCTAACCTTTGGTGGACCTGTGATAAAACAAATTTTTTTTTTGGAAAAAATACATACAGTATATGGCTTGTTAAAATAATTTTTAAAATGTAGATTTTAAGCCAGAACTCTTTCTATTAGGTATAATACCAGAAAGTGCTGATAAACAAAATGTATATTTAATACTGCATATTTTAACAGCCGCAAGGATTATATTCGCACAATACTGGAAAAATGAAGAAACACCTACAGATCAAGAAATAATTTGAAAGATATTGGACTCCGCTGGAAAATCAATATTGAGGCTCTTCTCTGCTTTAAGAGATTGGGCCCTAGCTGTGTATCTTAATAAATTGGCATAAATAACAGCTGGTCGGTGCGAGAGCTTCCGGTTCCGGCTCAGCCAGGCAAGACACTCATGGCTACGCAGCGGTGATTTTATCTTTATTTTATGTAATTTTATATGGTTTTTATAGCTTTTGTTTAGTTGAAGTTTCTATTCTACTTCTTGGCTGAAGGCATGATTTTAACCTTGGTAAAAGTAAACACAGAGATAATGACCACTGGAGCTGCCGAGAGATATTAGAAATACCTCTGTACGACAAAATTACACAACTGCAGCCTTGGGAAGAAAACAGAAGAAAATAACACCGCTATTG